CTCTCTCTTTAAAAAAAAAAAAAAAAAAAAAAAAAAAAAAAAAAAAAAAAAAAAGGACTAGTTTCTTGAAATAGCTGAATCAAGTAGAGAATCCTCAAAAATGATATGTATCTAGCTTATTATCTAATTTTAGCTTAAAATCTCACAATATATATTCATTTGTCATTTATCATGTAACGTCATGATATAGGATCAAGGCCTTTTCCCTAAATATGGGTTTGCTGATTTGAGTTCCTTCCTTTGTGCATCCACAGTGCCTCCTCTACAATTCCTATTGATTTCTTTAACGTGCATTGAAAACATAAACAAAGCAATTGGAGTACATATCTTTCTTAAATTCCACAGCCTTCCACCCTCAATCTTTTTAGTTGTCCCATACATACCTAATTTGGTTGTGTTCGTTCTTTCCCTCCCTCCCTCCCTCCTTCCCTCCCTCCCTTTCTTCCTTCCTTTCTTCCTTCCTTCATTGAACTCAGGGGCACTCAACCACTGAGCCATATCCCCAGCCCTTTTTTATATTTTATTTAGAGACAAGGTCATGCTGAGTTACCTAGGGCCTTGCTAAATTGCTGAGACTGGCTTTGAACTTGTGATCCCCTTGCCTTAGCCTCCCACGCCGCTGGGATTATAGGCATGTGCCACTGCACCCAGTTTTGGCAGTGGTTTTCCTTTTAACCTTCAAATATTATTTTTATCCCTTCTTACCACTAACTCTCTTCACATCTCTGTATTTTTATGATGTTTAACCAAGTATTTGAGACCAATAACAAACAATGAGCTTAAGCAGGTTTTGGAAGAAACCACCCTGATCCTTGGTAGGACGAACAACTTTCTCATCTGACAGGAGCCAGCTACCAGCTTGCAGCCCTCCCCCTCAGCGAGGACAGAAGGGAGAGTAAGCTGTGGTCCTGGAGTTGACAACATAGCCTTTGCTGGAGGAAATACTCAGCCTGCTTCCGCCTCCTGGCTGGAGAGTGGTGGTACTGCTATGGGAAAAACCATCAAGGTGAACCTAAGGAACCCAGGCTGCCAATTAAAAAAAAAAAAAAAATAGCAGGCTGCAAATTCCTACATTGATTGATGTTTGCGGGGGTTGGGGTACTAAGGTTTGAACCCAGGGCCT